TCATATTCTTATTTTCTTCTTTATCGTCTTAACTTTCATTTTTTTATCTTCCTGCTACTTTTTTTTTTCTCCTCTATCGTCTACTTTATTTTTTTTTTCGTCCTGTTCTTTCGTCTTCACTTTTTTCCGTCTTTTTGGCTTTTGTCTTCTGCACTGAATGAGAGGGACTGACGAGTGGGATGAGAGGGACTGACGAGTGGGGTGAGAGGGACTGACGAGTGGGATGAGAGGGACTGACGAGTGGGATGAGAGGGACTTACGAGTAGGATGAGAGGAATTGACAAGTGGGATGAGAGGGACTGACGAGTGGGATGACAGGGACTGACGAGTGGGATGACAGGGACTGACAAGTGGGATGAGAGGGACTGGCGAGTGGGATGAGAGGAATTGACAAGTGGGATGAGAGGGACTGACGAGTGGGGTGAGAGGGACTGACGAGTAGGATGAGAGGAATTGACAAGTGGGATGAGAGGGACTGACGAGTGGGATGAGAGGGACTACGAGTGAGGATGACAGGGACTGACGAGTGGGATGAGAGGAATTGACAAGTGGGATGAGAGGGACTGACGAGCGGGGAGGGGGTGACGAGTGGGTGTGAGAGGAAATGACGAGTGGGGTGAGGGGGAGTGACAGGTGAGGTGAGAGGATATGACAAGTGATGTGAGAGGGAGTGACAGGTGAGGTGAGAGGGAAGTGACAGGTTGAGGTGAGAGGGCAGTGACAGGTGAGGTGAGAGGGAGTGACAGGTGAGGTGAGGGGAGTGACAGGTGAGGTGAGAGGAGTGTACAGGTGAGGTGAGAGGGAGTGACAGGTGAGGTGAGTAGTGACAAGTGAGGTGAGAGGGAGTGACAAGTGAGGTGAGTGGGAGTGACAGGTGAGGTGAGAGGGAGTGACAAGTGAGGTGAGAGGGAGTGACAATGAGGTGAGAGGAGTGACAGGTGGGTGAGAGGGAGTGACAAGTGAGGTGAGAGGGAGTGACAAGTGAGAGGGAGTGACAAGTGAGGTGAGAGGGAGTGACAAGTGAGAGGGAGTGACAAGTGAGGTGAGAGGGAGTGACAAGTGAGGTGAGAGGGAGTGACAGGTGAGGTGAGAGGGAGTGACAGGTGAGGTGAGAGGGAGTGACAAGTGAGGTGAGAGGGAGTGACAAGTGAGGTGAGAGGGAGTGACAAGTGAGGTGAGAGGGAGTGACAGGTGAGGTGAGAGGGAGTGACAGGTGAGGTGAGAGGGAGTGACAGGTGAGGTGAGAGGGATGACAGGTGAGGTGAGAGGGATGACAAGTGAGGTGAGAGGGAGTGACAAGTGAGGTGAGAGGGAGTGACAGGTGAGGTGAGAGGGAGTGACAAGTGAGGTGAGAGGAAGTGACAGGTGAGGTGAGAGGGAGTGACAGGTGAGGTGAGAGGGAGTGACAGGTGAGGTGAGAGGGAGGTGACAGGTGAGGTGAGAGGGAGTGACAGGTGAGGTGAGAGGGAGTGACAGGTGAGGTGAGAGGGAGTGACAGGTGAGGTGAGAGGGAGTGACAGGTGAGGTGAGAGGGAGTGACAAGTGAGGTGAGAGGGAGTGACAAGTGAGGTGAGAGGGAGTGACAAGTGAGGTGAGAGGGAGTGGAGGTGAGGTGAGCGGGAGTGACAAGTGAGGTGAGAGGGAGAGTGACAGGTGAGGTAGAGAGGGAGAGTGACAGGTGAGGTGAGAGGGAGTGACAGGTGAGGTGAGAGGGGTGACAAGTGAGGTGAGAGGGAGTGACAAGTGAGGTGAGAGGGAGTGACAAGTGAGGTGAGAGGGAGTGACAAGTGAGGTGAGAGGGAGTGACAAGTGAGGTGAGAGGGAGTGACAAGTGAGGTGAGAGGGAGTGACAAGTGAGGTGAGAGGGAGTGAGAGGTGAGGTGAGCGGGAGTGACAAGTGAGGTGAGAGGGAGTGACAGGTGAGGTGAGAGGGAGTGACAGGTGAGGTGAGAGGGAGTGACAAGCGAGGTGAGAGGGAGTGACAGGTGAGGTGAGGGGAGTGACAAGTGAGGTGAGAGGGAGTGAGAGGGAGGTGAGAGGGAGTGACAAGTGAGGTGAGAGGGAGTGACAAGTGAGGTGAGAGGGAGTGACAAGTGAGGTGAGAGAGGGAGTGACAAGTGAGGTGAGGAGGGAGTGACAAGTGAGGTGGAGGGAGTGACAAGTGAGGTGAGAGGGAGTGACAAGTGAGGTGATAGGGAGTGACAAGTGAGGTGAGAGGAAGTGACAAGTGAGGTGAGAGGGAGTGAGAGTGAGGTGAGAGGGAGTGACAAGTGAGGTGAGAGGGAGTGACAGGTGAGGTGAGAGGGAGTGACAGGTGAGGTGAGAGGTGAGTGAGAGGTGAGGTGAGAGGGAGTGACAAGTGAGGTGAGGGAGTGAGAGGTGAGGTGAGAGGGAGAAGAGTTGACAAGTGAGGTGAGAGGGATGAGTGAGAGGTGAGTGAGTGAGGGGATTGAACAAGTTAGGTGAGGATGGGAGTGAGAGGGTTAGGTGAGAGGGAGGTGACAAGTGAGGTGAGAGGGAGTGAGAGGTGAGGTGAGAGGGAGTGACAAGTGAGGTGAGAGGGAAAGTGGAGAGGTGAGGTGAGAGGGAGAGTGACAAGTGAGGTGAGAGGGAGTGAAGTGAGGTGAGGTGAGAGGGAGAGTGACAAGTGAGGTGAGAGGTGAGGTGAGAGGGAGTGACAAGTGAGGTGAGAGGGAGTGAGAGTGAGGTGAGAGGGAGTGACAAGTGAGGTGAGAGGGAGTGACAGGTGAGGTGAGAGGGAGTGACAAGTGAGGTGAGAGGGAGTGAGAGGTGAGGTGAGAGGGAGTGACAAGTGAGGTGAGAGGGAGGGAAGTGACAAGTGAGGTGAGAGGGAGTGAGAGGTGAGGTGAGAGGGAGTGAAAGTGAGGTGAGAGGGAGTGACAAGTGAGGTGAGAGGGAGTGACAAGTGAGGTGAGAGGGAGTGACAAGTGAGGTGAGAGGGAGTGACAGTGAGGTGAGAGGGAGTGACAAGTGAGGTGAGAGGGAGTGAGAGGTGAGGTGAGAGGGAGTGACAAAGTGAAGGTGAGAGGGAGTGACAAGTGAGGTGAGAGGGAGTGAGAGGTGAGGTGAGAGGGAGTGACGAAGGTGAAGGTGAGAGGTGAGGTGAGAGGGAGTGACAAGTGAGGTGAGAGGGAGTGAGAGGTGAGGTGAGAGGGAGTGACAAGTGAGGTGAGAGGGAGTGACAAGTGAGGTGAGAGGGAGTGAGAGGTGAGGTGAGAGGGAGTGACAAGTGAGGTGAGAGGGAGTGAGAGGTGAGGTGAGAGGGAGTGACAAGTGAGGTGAGAGGGGAGTGACAAGTGAGGTGAGAGGGAGTGACAAGTGAGGTGAGAGGGGAGTGAGAGGTGAGGTGAGAGGGAGTGACAAGTGAGGTGAGAGGGAGGGAGTGAGAGGTGAGGTGAGAGGGAGTGACAAGTGAGGTGAGAGGGAGTGAGAGGTGAGGTGAGAGGGAGTGACAAGTGAGGTGAGAGGGAGTGACAAGTGAGGTGAGAGGGAGTGAGAGGTGAGGTGAGAGGGAGTGACAAGTGAGGTGAGAGGGAGTGAGAGGTGAGGTGAGAGGGAGGAGTGAGAGGTGAGGTGAGAGGGAAGTGAGAGGTGAGGTGAGAGGGAGTGAGAGGTGAGGTGAGAGGGAGTGACAAGTGAGGTGAGAGGGAGTGAGAGGTGAGGTGAGAGGGAGTGACAAGTGAGGTGAGAGGGAGTGACAAGTGAGGTGAGGAGGGAGTGAAGAGTGACAAGTGAGGTGAGAGGGAGTGACAAGTGAGGTGAGAGGGAGTGAGAGGTGAGGTGAGAGGGAGTGACAAGTGAGGTGAGAGGTGAGGTGAGAGGGAGTGAGAGGTGAGGTGAGAGGGAGTGAAAGGTGAGGTGAGAGGGAGTGACAAGTGAGGTGAGAGGGAGTGAGAGGTGAGGTGAGAGGGAAGTGACAAGTGAGGTGAGAGGGAGTGAGAGGTGAGGTGAGAGGGAGTGACAAAGTGAGGTGAGAGGGAGTGAGAGGTGAGGTGAGAGGGAGTGACAAGTGAGGTGAGAGGGAGTGACAAGTGAGGTGAGAGGGAGTGAGAGGTGAGGTGAGAGGGAGTGACAAGTGAGGTGAGAGGGAGTGAGAGGTGAGGTGAGAGGGAGTGACAAGTGAGGTGAGAGGGAGTGAGAGGTGAGGTGAGAGGGAGTGACAAGTGAGGTGAGAGGGAGTGACAAAGTGAGGTGAGAGGGAGTGAGAGGTGAGGTGAGAGGGAGTGACAAGTGAGGTGAGAGGGATCAGTGAAAGTGAGGTGAGAGGGGAGTGACAGGTGAGGTGAGAGGGGAGTGAGAGGTGAGGTGAGAGGGGAGTGAGAGGTGAGGTGAGAGGGAAGAGTGACAGGGTGAGGTGAGAGGGAGTGGGAGAAGGTGAGGTTGAGAGGAGTGAGAGGATGAGAGGTGAGGTGAGAGGGAGTGAGAGGTGAGGTGAGAGGGACTAAACGAGTCAGAGGGGCTATTTTTATTATTATTAATTATTATTATTATTATTAATTTTTTTATTATTATTATTACTGGTAGCAGCATGATAATATCAGCAACAGGATAGTCCTCGGGATAGTACTAGTCAGCCCCCGCGTGGCACCTGATGGTCTTCCAACTTTTCGCTCAAAGTGGCGAAAAGTTCCCTCAGCTTTCCAAATATTTTCAGTATTTTTCTCCCATGATTTTTTTTCTTCGTATTGAAGCATTCCTTTGATGATTTTCAAACTTGAGATTTTTTTTAATTATTCCTGTCTCTGCGATAGATATTTTTTATGTCTTCGATAGATGTACTTCATCCTCCACGATAGATATTTATCTATTCGATATATGTAGTTATTTCCCCCTCTACGATAGATATTTCCCCACCCCCTGCAATAGATATTTTTATTTTACTCTACGGTAGATTTCTATTTCAGTCTATTTGATAAATATTTTGATTTCTACGATAGACATTATTTCGTTACCTACGATAGATGTTCTACTAATTTCAGATAAACCCGAGTGCCTGACGTCCCCGACCACGTACTTCATATACGACAAACCCATCAATGTGACCTGTACCGTGTCCTCTCATCCGCCGGTCCGGGCGGTCCACTGGCAGTGGAACAGCAGCAGTGATGTGATCAAAACACAGCTGGTTAGCGAACCTACGGAACGCCTGTCTACCCAGCTGACCGTCTACCCTATAGAGACGTACGAAGACAGACTCCTGTCTTGCTGGGCCGTCAATGAGATGGGACGCCAACCCCTCGCATGCGGCTTCTCCATAAAAGTAGCAGGTGAGATGGTAGAGTTTATTTTGACCTTTTTCCAGGACTAACCCAGGGATCTGGCGTGTCTAACTGGACGATTTGGTGTGTGTACTCACCTATGTGGTTGCAGGGGTCGAGTTACAGCTCCTGGCCCCGCCTCTTTGCTGGTCGCTACTAGTTCCTCTCCCTGCTCCATGAGCTTTTTCGTGTGTGTGGAGAGGGAGGTAATTCATCCATTTATATTTTCCCCATTGTTTGTAGGAGGGTTGAGTTCGAGTTCATGGTCCCAATTCTGAACAGTCGACCAGCTGATATGCCTGAACCTCTCACGTTTAATCCCCCTTGTATGGCGTTCGCTTTCCTGACCACTCATTTGCCGCTCTACTTGTTTACAAGCCAACGAACGTGTATAAGGACCAGCAAAGACAAGGAACTGTTCAATTATACAGAGAAATGTAAAAGTGCCCTTAAACATGAGGTGAGGTCGTGACCCGGACAACGGAGGGAAGCAGGTCATGTGTCGTGTAGACGAGACCTTGAGAGGAGTTTTCCTAGAAGTGGTATCTATAACGGCAAGTATGCTAAGATGCAATATGCGGTTTGCGGCATTTTACTGAGATGTTTCGCCCAGCAGGGACATTTATCAATTCTTAGTTCTCTGTCAGTTCTCAGTTCTCTATAATTTGTCAGTTCTGACTTTTTACCATTGTTCAGTTCTCTTCAGTTCTCAGTTCTCTTATCATTTTTCGCCCCTGGTGGACGACCAGTCTTCTCAATTAAATGTCATAAACTGCTCGTTGTCTTAACAGAAATGTAAATACAAAATGCTTTGACAGGTTGACAGGAATATGATTTGATACTGTTTTGTACCCTGTTGATGGCGGCTTCCAGGCATTCCTAGTTCCATCATCTTGCTCTTCGGCGAGCTTGGCTACGTTCCACATCATAAGATGCGCCAGTTTCTCTGTATGGCCCATGTGTTGTATTTTAGTCTCCGTGTTCCTGAAGTCTAACATCAAGGCTGGTTGCAGTCTCGCGCACACAATACCTGTCGCAACCTGGACAAGGAAAGGTGTACACACAGGCTGTGATGTTGGGAGATCAGCTGTGGTTGATGCTGGTGATGGTCTTGTTGCAGTGGATCAGTGGTGGTTGGTGCTGGCGATGGTCTTGTTGCAGTGGATCAGTGGTGGTTGGTGCTGGCGATGGTCTTGTTGCAGTGGATCAGTGGTGGTTGGTGCTGGTGATCTTCTTAATGCAGTGGATCAGTGGTGGCTGATGCTGGTGATGTTCTTAATGCAGTGGATCAGTGGTGGTTAGTGCTGGTGATCTTCTTAATGCAGTGGATCAGTGGTGGTTGGTGCTGGTAATGTTCTTGATGCAGTGGATCAGTGGTGGTTAGTGCTGGTGATCTTCTTGATGCAGTGGATCAGTGGTGGTTGGTGCTGGTAATGTTCTTGATGCAGTGGATCAGTGGTGGTTGGTGCTGGTGATGTTCTTGATGTAGTGGATCAGTGGTGGTTGATGCTGGTGATGTTCTTGATGCAGTGGATCAGTGGTGGTTGATGCTGGTGATCATCTTGATCAGTGGTGGTTGATGCTGGTGATCATCTTGATACATCAGTGGTGGTTGTTGCTGGTGATGTGCTTGCCATTAACAGGTTATTACTGAGAGACAGATATTGGTCTTCTAAAGAGTAGCTGCGAGGTGGACGGATGTCTGACCAGTGGGAAGAATGTGCATCAACGTCGGGGTTTCTTCTTCTTGGGAGTTTTCCCAGGGGCTTGACAGGTGTCGCAGTTGCAGTTACATTTTCCTCGAGATACTAAGAACAGTAAACATCTTGAGAAAGTATACAGTTTTAATTACGACACCCCTTCATTCAAAGTCCCGCCCCATCTCATCCTATATTGCAGACTTTCAGCATAACCCACGTCAAATCACAGAGGAAAAACCCCAAGGAAAACCCCGAAGTTTGTACACAAATCATTCTTCAAAGTAGACCAACTTCTCTTCGGAAGTCCAGCATCAACAACCTTCGAAACCGTCAGAACCATCAACAGCTCCAACCAGCACATTGGCCAATACCTCTTACGTTATACTAATTTTTTAGTAATCACGCGGGAGCGCTGAATCCGCAAGGGCCATACAGCGCCTGGGAAATGAGAGGCAATCAGGTTCAATCAGAGGGGGGCGCCACGCCAGCCCTCGTGATGCAGCAGCCTTGACCAGGACGGAGGCAGGAACCGGTGTCGGGGGTTTAAGAGTGTGTGTGTGCGCCTCTGTTGCTGCTGGTGACTGCTCTCACAGACGCTAATGTTCCTGACGGCGCTCATAACAGACTTAAAGCTTTACTCTGGCGCTCAAACAGGTGATTAACCTGTAATTACCAGCCTAATTTTCCGGCCGTAAGCACCCGTGTTATGAAGGCAATTAACGTGTAGAATTAACCCCCATGTCTTTCATAGACCAGTATAATGATGTCACAAGTAACGTGGCCCCTCAAGACAAGTTCCTTGATGCTGCTAGCGGGCTCTTGATGCCAGGAATTTAACCTATCCTCTTTCTCGGAGGGAACCTGGTTGCTTCCCACCCTCGCTGACGCTGTACGACCCCGAAAGATTTAGCGCTCTCTTCGAAATGGAATAATAACCGTAGGGAACGTAGAAGAGGAGAGACAGTTGGGTTTAGCGGTCTACCAAGATATTGTTATCTTCCCGTCAGTAAATTACTCGATCACGTTCCACCTGTGTTGTCCTCGGTCGTGCGACACACTCCAGCGTCTTGACAGTGTGGCAAGACGGTCGTGCGACACACTCCAGTGTCTTGACAGTGTGGCAAGACGGTCGTGCGACACACTCCAGTGTCTTGACAGTGTGGCAAGACGGTCGTGCGACACACTCCAGTGTCTTGACAGTGTGGCAAGACGGTCGTGCGACACACTCCAGTGTCTTGACAGTGTGGCAAGACGGTCGTGCGACACACTCCAGTGTCTTGACAGTGTGGCAAGACGGTCGTGCGACACACTCCAGTGTCTTGACACTGTGGCAAGACGGTCGTGCGACACACTCCAGTGTCTTGACAGTGTGGCAAGACGGTCGTGCGACACACTCCAGTGTCTTGACAGTGTGGCAAGACGGTCGTGCGACACACTCCAGTGTCTTGACAGTGTGGCAAGACGGTCGTGCGACACACTCCAGTGTCTTGACAGTGTGGCAAGACGGTCGTGCGACACACTCCAGTGTCTTGACAGTGTGGCAAGACGGTCGTGCGACACACTCCAGTGTCTTGACAGTGTGGCAAGACGGTCGTGCGACACACTCCAGTGTCTTGACAGTGTGGCAAGACGGTCGTGCGACACACTCCAGTGTCTTGACGGTGTGGCAAGACGGTCGTGCGACACACTCCAGTGTCTTGACGGTGTGGCAAGACGGTCGTGCGACACACTCCAGTGTCTTGACAGTGTGGCAAGACGGTCGTGCGACACACTCCAGTGTCTTGACAGTGTGGCAAGACGGTCGTGCAACACACTCCAATGTCTTGACAGTGTGGCAAGACGGTCGTGCAACACACTCCAATGTCTTGACAGTGTGGCAAGACGGTATGATTGTAAGCTGCAAGACTGCACAGTCACCGGTTCGATGCATCGTACTCCTTACAGTTGCTTTTCACGACATCATCCCCAGGGAAGGTTCCTTGATACCGGTGAGGGGTTCTTGATTTTCAAAAACAGAACCTATACTCTGATCGAACCTGAATGCCTTCCATTTTCCCAGGCGATGTATGACCCCCTACAGGTTCAGCGCTCCCTCCCATGAATATAATACTATCACTATTTAATGGTTTTTCACTATTTAATAAGGTACTTTCACTATTTAATAAGGTACTTTCACTATTTAATAAGGTACTTTCACTATTTAATAAGATTCTCATTTGATCTGCAGTTAGTGTCCAGCATCCCGGAGTTCCTGCGTCCCAAAACTACGTTCACTTGTTATTTCCAGACTTCCATATAAATATATCAGGTTCAAGACAGTGCTGCCACGTTTCGCTCACTGTAGAGCTTCATCAAGTCGTGCCCTGGTAAAGTTCTTTTTACAGCAAGAGGTTGTCCCAGTAAAGCCTTGTTCAGGTCCATGTTTGTCTTCACGTAAGCGTGAAGCCTCGACAGCCAGCCAGATGCGGATTTTGCTGTTTGTTTTCTCCCGCATAGGAGCGGATTATGTAAACTAGTGCGGAATCGTCGATATGACAATACGTCAGACCACAGAACGGGTGAGGGTTGAACCCAGGGCAGGCGAGTCTTAAAACTAGCAGGCCAGTGCTCTAACCTCTCGTGGTAAATGGATCAGTTTAATATTTAAGAGGCAGGAGCCAAGAGATAGAGCTCGGTCCCCACAGAACAATTCTACTTTTATTCCCCATGGCGCAACACTACTTCTGTAACTACAACTTTGTTGATACTATATGTTCGTCTACTCCCCACACACACAGTGTAGTAGTAGTAGAGGCATGATCCACTCATAGTTTTAAGAAGGGGTACAATAAGGCTCTTGGAGCCGGGAGAGAGGGGACCTATTAGCGACCAGTGAAGAGACAGGGCCAGGAACTATGGATCGACCCCAAAAATCTCTGATATTATTCTAACTTCACAAAACTTTGAAGAGGCAATAAATGACAAGCCCATGCACTCTGCCCCAGGCCCAGACTCGTGGAACTCCGTGTTCATCAAGAACTGCAAGAAGTCCCTATCACGTGCCTTCAGCATTTTATGGAGAGGGAGCATGGACACAGGGGTCATCCCACACACACTAAAAACAACAGACATAGACCCACTCCACAAAGGTGGCAGTAAAGCAATTGCAAAGAACTACAGACCGATAGCACTAACATCCCATATCATAAAAATCTTTGAGAGGGTTCTAAGAAGCAAGATCGACAACCACCTAGATACCCATCAGTTACACAACCCAGGGCAACACGGGTTTAGAGCAGGTCGCTCCTGTCTGTCCCAGCTACTGGACCA